GGGAGGGAGGGAGGGAGGGAGAGTGAGAGGGAGGGAGGGAGAAAGAAGAGAGGGAGGGAGGGAAAGAGAGATGCCAGCAGAGTCAAGTTAGGTATTTTACAAATTTTTGACTTGACAAACTCAATAGGTTTGCTATCAATGAACTAGAATAATGCTAGTGTGAAAGATATTACACTTCTGGGTAATCAGGATTCCTGCCTTGGACAGGGGGGTGGACTAGAAGACTTTCAAGGTCCCAAACCTAGTATCGGAAATATCTCAATGTGACTAACTTCAGAGTTGTAGTGAAGATGAAGAATAAATGAGATGTTGACCAGAGGTGGGTTGCTAATTTTTTTTACTACCAGTTTGGGCATTCTCCTGTGCGTGCAATGCTTCTGCACATGTGCAGAAGTGTCTGGGCGGGTGGATGGAGCCTCCCGCAGCTGCTACTACTGGTTTGGCTATCTGGGCCGAACCGGCAGCAACCCACTTCTGATGTTGACGCGTGGACAAATTGCTACAATTGCCTGCCCTATTTCTTCCATCTTCACTCTCTTGGATGAATATTTTGTCAATATCATGTTGAGTTTGTTCAACGTGGCAGATGTAGACTAAGGTCCATATGTGCAAATGGGACCTTAAGCTTTGACTTAATTAGCATAGTTCATTTCCTTTCTGACTGAGAGCAGAATCTATTTGCAAGTTACATAAATTCATTAAGCAAGCTTACCTTTACTATTCTAATAAGGGTTTTTAGTTGATAGATGTGAAGCTGAAGGTCCATGCGGTCTGTTAGCCAAGTGCAAACGATGTTCATGGAGCTGGTGTACCATTGCTGCAAAATAAGCAAGAGCTCTCCAAGGACATGTCAAACAATATGAATCATATACAGTACATAATATATTTTGAACACGATCATGTCTTACTAGCTTTGATCTTTTCAGTGTAAACATTCAGACACAAAATCAGAATTGCACGCTTAAAGACAGAAGAAACATTTTGACCACTGATATTTAAGAATTCTTAGCATATGGCCCACTGTGTTTCAGTATCCACCCAATCTGGAATTCAGATTGGATTTCCCCCCTCCTTCAAACACATCCCCAAATACTGTTTGTGCCTTTGCCTTTACATAATACCATTTAAAATAACTTTACTATTTAAGATTGACATGCTTCAGATGAATGGAGAAGAATGGATGTTTAACACCTTCTGTAGACTGCATTTGCATCTATTGTGGGCTTTTCGCTTCCCAAATATTTAAAGAATAAAAGTGGGATATATATATACACTAATCTTAGCTGATTTTCATCTATCAGTCTCCCTTGCAATTGTGCCACCGTTGAGATAGCCAGGTGGGCAGGGCAGAAAGCCACTAGTGGAAACACAAATTCACATTTCAAATTGCTCATGGCAAGTTTTCCAGCCAGAATGTTATGTCCAGATGATGCTCCTGAGATTCATGCAGCCATAAATAACACTTGAAGAGGTGGAAGCAACAATATTCAAATGTTGATCAGAAAAGGAAGAGGAACCACGGAAACTATTTCAGCTCTCCAAGTCCATTCTGCCCTAACCTTTTAAAATGGCAACGAAACTCAAGATGTGATGAAAATCACGGCTCTCATAAACCTCAGTCAAAGAACGACTGTGGGTTCGGAATTCATGTGTTCTCTATCTCTGCTAATGTTATTTTTTCTTTCCCAGCCTGGAATCAAATCAGACTCTTGATGGCATTTCTGGACGAAGAAACTAAGTCTTTAGTGACATAACTTGCAGCTGTAGGCAATGGTAGGAAAGATCTTGTACCACTCAACACTTCCTCTTTGGTGTTCATCTCTAGTTAAGCATGCCAGATGGGCGTGAGAAAAGCCGGCACAAAAAGAGCATGGAAGGGAAGACCTTAACTTCTCTATCTACTGCTTTATCCTTCCCTTTTATATTATTATTCCCAACTCCAAATCTTCGGCACTTGTGAGCATGGCATTACTAAGGCTATAGATTTAAAAGAAGCCAGGGTAATAGGTAGTCCTTGACTTACAACAGTTCACTTAGTGACTGTTCAAAGTTACAACGGCACTGAAAAAAGTGACGTATGAGCATTTTTCATACTTATGACCATTGCAGCATTCCCCCACGGTCACGTGGTTTACATTTGACACCTGACTCACAATTATGATGGTTACAGTGTCTCGGGGCAACGTGATTCCCCCTTTGTGACCTTCTGACAAGCAAAGTCAATGGGGGAATCAGATTCACTTAACAACCGTGTGACTAATTTGACAACTGCACTGATTCAGTTAGCCAATGTGGCAAGAAAAGTCGTAAAATAGGGCAAAACTCACTTAACAAATTTCTCAACATAAATTCAGGGCTCAATTGTGGTCGTAAGTTGAAAACTACATAGTAGCCATCTCTACTCAAGTCACTTTTTATCAAGGTACCCAGCATATTTTCTGGCATGTGCATCCTGGGGAAAAGCTTCACCCCCCTACAGCTCATCTAGTGGGTCATCTATTGAAGATAAGAAAGCAACCTTAAACCAATACTGAATAATGAGCTTGAAGTAGTTCTCAGTATTAATGGAGCTGTGAATGGAAATGTCTTCCCTGGCATGGATGAATGTTGAGGCAGGTCTGGTGGGGAAGGGGAGTTAGAGTTTTCTTTGTGGATGGAGGGGTGCCAAATTCTCCACGAGATCCCCGGGGCAGAGGAGGAGGGGTGTGACAGCTTATGTTGTGAGGCAGTTCCCCCACATTTCTTCTTTGTCCTGCCCACCAATTCAAGAGGGTAAGTTTTTCACTCTGTAACATACTCTAAATTACTCAGCTCTGCCTTTTTTTTTTAACCATCACCAAGAAAACACTCCTATTATATCTTCAGGCTTTTGGGCAGGGGCTACCTCATAAATATTTATCACTTCGGCTTTGCATCCCAAGGTAATGAGGGATCGCTTGTTTAATACACGCTACTTGTTCTCTTCCACTCATGTAACCCCATCACTTTTTCAATCCCAGTGACAGCTAATGGCTTACAATTTAGGATTGGACATAAAGTTGTTCAGAAATTTGGTGAAGCCTCTGTTTGCTCTTCCTTACCATTTATTTTAAACAAGTTCAGATTCATGTGCTACTCTTTTTTTTTTCTTTTAAAATATGTTTCTCCCTTAAACAACAATATTAGTAGTATTTGGCTTACTCCCACTACCTGACACATTTTTGTGAAAACAATTGTTCTCTGTCAAAATTAATGTATTCATGAAATAAAGCAATTAAGGCTGCAATCCTACACAGATTTAACTCGGCTCCAATGGTCACAGTGGGACTTCAGAATAGTGCTAAAAGAAATAAGTTGCTCTGAAAATATGTTGAATTAAAATGGCAATGCAAGCCTGGTTGTTTTTTTTAAATATGGAAATAAGTTATATTGCATGGATCTGAGTGAAATGCATAGAGTATTGTAGCCTTAATTATAAAAAGTTGAATGCGAATGCACTATTATACTCCAGTTAACAGTAGAAAAGCTACTTTCTGTGTGCTATTAATGTCAATTATCAAGGTCACCATCCTTAAATAGAGACTAGCTCTCACTGGATTCAGGAAAATATCTTCATGCACGTGCTTAGCATTTGTTTGCAAAGACTATTGATTTAGGGTGGATTATCTTCATTAACAAAATACACCCAACCACAGGACAGCTTCACTTTGGATACCTTGCCTGCTCTTAATTTTAAAGAGGTCACATTTGGAGCCTTATGACTGATAGTGGCATCATATTTCTGTCAAGATAGAAAATTATCCCTTAATAAAATTTGAACAGATTTTAAATAGTCATCCTCAAGGAACTGTCAATCAAAGGTAAGGGTAAGGGGCATTTTAAACCTGAAGAAAATAAATTCAGAGCAGAGGTGATATTCAGCAGGATCTGACCAGTTCAGGAGAACCGGTAGTGGAGATTTTGAATAGTTCAGAAACCTGGTAAATTCCACCTCAGACTGGTCCCACCCCCATCTACTCTCTGCCTCCCGAGCCCCAGCTGATCGGGAGGAAATGGGTATTTTGCAGTAACCTTCCCCTGGAGTGAGGAAGGAATGGAGATTTTACAGTATCATTACTCTGGAATGGGGAGGGAATGGAGATTTTACAGTATCCTTACCCTCGAGTGGGGAGGGAATGGGGATTTTGCAGTAACCTTCCACTGGAGTGGGGAGGGAATGGGGATTTTGCAGTAACCTTCCACTG